TCCATCCCATAACTAAGGTCAGAGAATTTCTTCATGTGGAGACTGAGGCTTTTGGGTTAACCCTTACCCTAATCCTTATGAGAAAGTCAGGTGAGGATGGTTGGGTTTTGACTCCTGCCCTGCAGTAGGGCTGTGGATTTCAGGAAGAAATTAGGGACCATTGAAGCTACACTCCTTACTTAGGTGAGAAGCCTGAGGCCCAGAAAGGAGAAGTTACTTGCCCAAAGACACACGTTTGCTCAATTACCAGGAAGGACTTCTAGAGTAGTTGTCTCCTTGTGGGAGGGTGTTCAAGGTTTTGAGTAACCATAATTCCCCTCTGTGTCTCTAGTCATTTCAGAAATGACGAGACACTTTCAAAATAAAAGTACTTTTAAGTACTTTAAGTTATTTGCAACCTTGTTACACGAAGTTTGGTCTGTGGAAGGAGGACCAGTATCACAGCATCACCTGGGAGCTTGATAGAAATGCAGACTCTTTAGCCTCACCCCAAACCTACTGAATCAGAATCCACACTTTTAACAAGTTCCCCCGGTGACTGTATGCACATTAACATTGGAGAAGTGCTTTTTTAAAAGCTGAATCTGTTAGCCACATGTTGAGGAAGAGGGAAGAGGAGTGAGAACAAGTGAAAAACGGGATGAGGGAGCTCTCTAAAAGAAGAGTATCTGAGTTTCCTTGGGTTGGGTCAGTCATTGTAATCTTTGCTTTTCCCAGGGCCTTGGGGTCTTGGAACAGAGCAGATAGATAATGGAATAGAACGATGTGATAGGATACACTTAAAGGTTGGTGTGGTTGTGTTCAAGAAAAAATAAGGATATTCCTAGTTGATGACAGGGAACTGAGGAATAAGTTTTATGTAGCTTTTGACCTGGGAAATGGAAAGAGGGCTCCAGAGGCCTGGGGTCCCTGGGGGTGGGATGGGGGATGTTAATATGGACCAGTGCCGACCTCCCTGACGTGTGTTTGTGTTTGCCAGTGACGTTGCCCGCCACCATCATGACGTCATCTGTGCCCACAACTGTGGGAGGCCACATGATGTATCCCAGCCCCCATGCAGTGATGTATGCACCCACCTCGGGCCTGGCTGATGGCAGCCTCACCGTGCTCAATGCCTTCTCCCAGGCACCATCCACCATGCAGGTGTCCCACAGCCAGGTCCAGGAGCAAGGTGAGTTTGGGGCGGGCAGGGCTGCCGAAAGGAGGGCCATTTCCTCCCTTACACACACACACACACACACACACACACACACACACACACTCAAAAGCCTCCCCCAACTCAGATGCACACACTCACACATACCCAAACCAGGTGCTCACACATATACCTACACATTTACACACACTTACAGATGCTTGCACACATACTCCAGCACCCAGGCTGTCCACTTGGACACTCATGCACACTTGAACACCCACACCCACATACATACTTAGACACATTTGGACACTTACCTTTGGGCACTTACATCTGAGACTCACCCAGTCACTTGTGCATTTATCACCACACCTCCAAGATCTGGAAGTTTCTCTTGAGCAAGTGATTTGAGTTTCTCCTGTGGCTTTTTAATGCAGGTGGCGTCCCCCAGGTGTTCCTGACAGCGCCATCTGGGACAGTGCAGATCCCGGTTTCTGCAGTTCAGCTTCACCAGGTAGGTGGGGGCACCTTTCACCCCAGTCAGCCAGCCCCTTCTTTATCTTGACCTCAGGGATTCCATTACTGGGTGGTCCAAGCCAAGATCCTTAGCCGAGAGGCCTATCCATTTTCCTGGTCAGGCCTGTGTGGTGGGCAGGCAGGCAGGTGAGCAGGGGGCAGCCTGAGCTGGCTGGTCAGTTCCAGCCCCCTACGTCCTCCTCACACATCCCCTTCCCTCCAGATGGCTGTGATAGGGCAGCAGGCCGGGAGCAGCAGCAACCTCACCGAATTACAGGTGGTGAACCTGGATGCCGCCCACAGCACCAAGAGTGACTGATCCGCCCTGCCGCCCTGGACAGATGGCCCAAGGGACGGCACCACTTATTTATTGTTGCCTTTTCACGTTTTCTTTACACACATGTTGACGGGCCGCAGGAGGGAGGCGGGGAGGAGCAGTGGGCAGCCACAGGACTGAGCCCTCTCACTCCAGCCAAAGAAATGGGCCAGCCTGCCCTCCACCCCATCCTCCCTCACCCTCCCCTCCTTCTAGCTCCACCTCCCATCTCTGTTGATGGTGGGGCTGTCCTGCCTCCTCAGACTCCCCTTGCCAGCTTGGCTCCGTGTTTGCCATGAGTATTAGCTTACCCAATGGGACCGTGCTCCCCCTCCCACACACAGGTCTCTGTGGGACGAGGCACTGTGTCCCCCTGAGGAAGCAGTCGGGGTCCTCTCCCCAGCCTCCTTGCTGACCCCACGTCAGCTCTGCGTCTGCCACAGGCTGGGTCAAAAGAGCCCTAACCCTGCCCCTCAGGGAGCCAGCTGGGGAGATGGGGCTTCTTCCCTCAAGACTTGCCCGTGCCCGTGGCCCCTGCAGCTCCTGAGTAGCGGGGCTTGTGCACGGAGCAGATTCCTGGGGTGACCTGCCCTGCCCAGCCGCTCCCCTCGGAACTCCGGGGGCTACTGGGTTGGAGGGAACCACCGGTGTTCCCTCTCCCCCTGTCTTCCCCACCTCCTCCCAGCTGCTTTACTTAAAGTTGATTTTGAACTTTTTATTTGAGGAGACGAAGTGAAAACAAATCTATAAATATATATTTTTAAAATATTTAACTTTTTTTTATGGCGTTTTTCTCGTCCCCCTCCCTGCCCAAGCTCCCCTTCCCTGGGGAGCCCTGGGGCTCCCTGGAGCTGGCTGGGCTTCTGGGGACAGAGCCGCCCCATGAGCTTGGGGCCCACCAGTGTATGGGAGAGATGCTGGGTTCGCCCGGTCCTGGGTTGTTTCCAGGAGAAAACCGGGGGAGGGGCCCTCAGGCCATGCCCCAACGGGGTGGGGAGGGTGACCCACAGCTCTGGGTCTCTTTTTGTCCTTCAGGGCTGTTGCTAGGGAGAGGGAAAAGGGAGACCAAATGTGGGGATGGGGGTGGGAGGGTGTCAGAGGCAACCGACTTCATTTGTGCCACACGCATGGGCATTGCAGCCTTGTGTGCCCCCAGGCCTGCAGCTGCCTGGGGCCCAAGTTGCAGTGAGCAGGGTGGGGTCTGGGAGGGGGCGGAAGGCAGGAATGGGGGGGCAGAAGAAATGGGAGCAGCTCTTGGGCTGAGTGTGGGGAAAGGGGAGCCAGAAATGGCAGCTCTCCCAGGGAGTGAGCAGCTACTGTAACTTTTTAAAATTAAGACAAAAAGCCTTGAAGAAAATGACTTTATTTTTCTAAGTGTAACCTCAGTATTTATGTAATTTGTACAGGGGCCGTGCCCCACCCCCTCTACCTGCTTTGGGGTAGACCTTGAGGGTGGGCCAACATAGGGGGAGGGTCTTTTACCCTGTGTCAGAGCCTACCTTTACCACCTGTATCCAGAGAGGGAGCTTTTTCAGAACAGGGCAGCGGTGGAGTGGAGTTTTATTAACCCCTTAGGACTGCCTTCAGTAGGAACAAGCCTGCTTCTGTGATTAGGTGAAGGGGTGGGGGAAATTTTTACGCACAGCCTAGTTATCAAGGGGGTGATTTGCCGACATGTTTGAGAACCTCCGAACCTCTAACCCCCGTTGCTGTCTTGCCCCAGTTTGGGGTGCCAAGATGGAAGTCATCTTTCTGGCTTTCTCCTGGAGGTAGCTGGGGGCTTATGGTTGGCTTACAAGATTGGGGCATGGCAAATCAGGGGCTAGAGAGTGGGGGAGCTTGGGACTCAGGTCTGTAACTGCCCAGCCCCTTTTCTCTGCTCTTGTTTTCACTCCACCATCACTCACTCACTCCCCCCTCTCACCCAGGGGAGGAGACCTTGATGAATTCCTCCTCTCCTTCCCACAAAAGACAGACCCAGTGAGTGAATCCGGCAAAGTGCTTATAATGTGTGTTGTGTGAGCGTGGCCTTGGGAGAACATGTGTGCGTCAGGGATGAGGTGGCATTTATATGTGCAGCGACCCTTGGTGTTTCCCTTCCTTGGTGGCTCTGGGGTGTGTGTGTGTGCCTGAGTGAATGTGTGTGTGTGAATGTGGGGTGTGTATGTTAGTGGTTTCTACTTCCCTGGGATGCTGACCCAGGAATAGTGGACATGGTCACAGTCCTATGTACAGAGCTTTCTTTTGTATTAAGAAAAAATACTCTTTCAATAAATGTATCATTTTTGTGCACAGACTGTGGGGTCTTTGCCTTTGTTTTCCCATATTGGAGGGAGGGAGGTGTGAACATGAATCAAACCCCAAAAGTTGCTGCTCTGAGAAGCAAGCCTGGCTGTTTGATGAAATGCTAAGGGGTACTTTGGCTGTTGAAATTCTAGGATTATACTTGAAGAACATTTCCGGGGGTGGGGGGCGCTCGGGCATTTATCTTTGGCCCCAGCTGTGCTAGGTGCTTAGGTCAACACAGAGAGGAGCAATTTTAATTAATAGGAAAAGTGACGCAACCAATCCAAAGCATCGGGTTTGGGAAACTCAGGGCCACGTGACCTAGTGCAAAATAAGAGGAAAGCCCTAGGGTGGGAGTGTGAGTTGCAGTGGGGGACGAGGAAGGCAGACCTAGTGAAGGGGAGGGAGGGCTTCAAAGTTGATATTGGATGGAAAGGGCTGCCTACGGCTGCTGAGAAAGGAGCAACGTGACCACTACCCCGGGCTCCGCGGGCAGCCCCCCACTCACCCCTCCCCCGGCCGCTTGCCCCAGCGCAGCAGCCCCCGAGTACTACGCATGCTCCGCTTGCGCGCTGCGCCGCTGCCGCTCTCGGCTGTGGGCCGCGGTGGGACCCGTAGCCGCCCGGCAGTGCGTGCACTCGCGACGTGACCCGGAAGGGAGCTGCTGAGGAGGCGGGGCCAGGACGGCGGGGTCAGGACGGAGGGACCAGGACGGCGGGGCCAGGACGGCAGGACCAGCGCTGTGTCCCAGCGAGGGCCGAGCCGGGCGGTGGGAGGTGAGAGGAGAGTTCTGCGCCGACCCGGTCCCTGCCTCGTTCCCTCCCCGGTCCCTTGCCCACTCTCCGTGGGGCTGACGACAGGAGCCAGGTCTTGCTGAGATTCGTTCGGACCAGTGAGCCTCCTCCGACCGCGCCTCTCCATCCTCACCCCGCCCCCCAAGCCCGTTCCTGTGGCGATGCGGGCCTCCTCTACGGCCCCTGGGCCTGCAAGCTCGGGCCTGATCTTGCCACCTACGCCTACCTGCTGTCTCATCCTCGCATCCTGACCTCGACTCCACACCTCAGTTTATTGCTCCCGTTCTAAGTCCTCCCTCTCCCCCCATTTAGGCCTTTCCGATGGTGTTACTTCACCCTGTTCATCAGTTGTCCATCGCACATCTCTGGTTACCTCCCTGTCCTGCCCCCCATGCTAACTGGACCCCTACCCCCATCGAGGTCCACATTCCATGTTTCCCCTCCTCTTCACGCCTTCTATTCTCATCTTCTATCCCTGTACCCCAACATGACCCCGGCCCTGATCACCATTTCTTCATCTTGGTTTATCCTCCGTTCTTATCCTCATCATTCCCTGTTGTCCCCACATTGCTTCATAGTGTTCCCTGACCACTAGCATAGCCATCACCCCACACGTATTTCTGATCCTTTCTGGCTTAATAGCGTTCCGTTTATCTGGGGACTGATCCTACCTTCTCCTTCTCTAAGAAGAATAATATTAGATTCTGTTTACTAAGCGCTCACTGTATGTTAGAGGCTGTTCTAAATGTTTTATATAGTGATTTTAGTTTTTACAACAACTTCGTGAGTTGGGTATGAATATTATTACCATCTTTCAGAGGAGGGAACTGAGGCATAGAAGTTAAGTAACTTGCTCAAAAGCCTGCACACAGTAAGTGAAAGAGCCAGAGTTCAGAGTCCCATTTGTCTGACTCTGAATCTGTACTGTTGATTTATTGCGTCTCTAGAATCTCTACTGTCTCCTGACCTCATTCCCTAGCCTTCAACTCCATGATTACTACCTCTATCTATAACTGCCTGACTTAGAGCCTCACCGTACCTATTGCATGGGTGCAGGGTGGGACCTGGTTTTTTTCTCCCATGATTTTACTTGGCCCCCTAGTCCCGTCCCCCTTTCACAATATTCTCATACCCCTTTCCCATCCAGCCATCTGCACGTGCGGGCCTCCTTTCATCTCTGTTCTCTGTATCTGCCGTGGCCCAACCTTTTATATCCACAGTCCAGTTTTACCCTGTCATTTATACTCCTTGTCCTGCCACTTCCCCATCCTGACTTTCCTAGCTTGTTCTAGCCCCACTGCCTCACAGGCTGCTGTCCTACCTGCTCACCCGTGTCATCCTTCTAAGTCCTGATCTGTACCCCTCAGCTGCCCTACTGTCCTGCCCAAATTGTCCTGATTAACTGTCAACTCCTCTTGTTCCCTTGCCTTTTATTCTTCTCATCCTCTTTTGTAATTTCTTCTATTTCTTAAATCTTTTCATCTCCTTCTGTCGCCGTTTTTCACTCCATTCTCCTTCTCTTATAAATCCCAGAGTTTGTTCAAGTTATTCATTCCATCCTATTCTTGGCCTTTTCTCTTTGGCCTCTAAATTCCATGCAACCTACCAATCACCACCCACCCTGTCTACGCCTCAAGATTCCACCCCCTTCACGTAGCCTTTTCCCTTTCCAGCACAGCCTCTGTCTTTCTCCTTGTGTGTCCCAGGAAGTCAGGATGGTGGGGGAGCGGCGTCCCGGGGACCTCGTGGTGCCCTTGGGGCCCCGGCTGCAAGCGTATCCTGAAGAACTTCTTCGACAGCGGCCTGGGCGTGATGGGCACCCTGAATACCTGATCCGATGGAGTGTCCTGAAGTGTGAGGAAGTGGGAAGAGTGGGTGTGGAAGAGGGCAAGGCAGAGCACATCCTCATGTGGCTGTCAGCCCCCGAGGTCTACGCCAACTGCCCCATGTTGTTAGGTGAGCGGGCATTATCTAAGGGACCTCAGCATGAAACAGCTGGGGGTTCTGGAAGCTTTCGCCGAGATCCGGGAGGCCTGGATGATGTGGCAATGGGAGAGATGGAGGCTGATGTGCGGGCGCTGGTGCGCAGGGCTGCCAGGCAGCTGGCAGAAGGTGGGACCTCGAGCCTCACGGCTGCTGTGCTCCACACCATCCACGTGCTCAGCGCCTACGCCAGCATCGGGCCCCTCACTGGTGTCTTCAGGGAGACAGGCGCCCTAGACCTGCTCATGCACATGTTGTGCAACCCTGAGCCTCAGATCCGTCGGAGTGCGGGCAAGATGCTGCAGGCTCTGGCAGCCCATGATGCTGGTAAGAGACAGCCAGGGGAAGAAGGTAAACACTGGGAAGAATGAGGCTACAGGAGTAAGAACAGGAAGAGGAGGGATTTCCCAGCTCTGTAAGAATACCTAGTATTTGGTGGACATCAGTTTCATTGCAAAGGGAAAAATATAAAATAAGCTATCACAGGTGCGTAAACAGGATAAAATGATAGCACCTGGTTTATCTGTCCATTCTCAGTGCAGTGGCAGAGAAGAGAAGGGAATAAGTTTATATTTTTAAACTGGTTTGACATTTGTTAGTTGGTTATGAAATCAGTTTGGTGGGTTATAACCAACATTTTTTAAAATGTAAAATATCAGTACATGGCACTTAGTAGTGTAGGTTTTGTAACCTGAAATACATGTTTCAGTTTCATATGTGTACACTTGTATTAGGTTACCATGTAAAATATGTGTGTTCCTGTGAGTCTCAGTCACAGAGAAGTTTGAAAGCCTCTGGGGGTAGGGAATAGAGAGTCTGGGGGAAGGCAGCCGGTAAGTAGTGGGGATTGAGGAGAAGATACAGATTGGGTGTGGATTACAGGGAGTCGGGCTCACGTCCTTCTGTCACTGAGCCAGCAAGATGGCATCGAGCAGCACATGGATTTTGACAGCCGCTATACTTTGCTGGAGCTGTTTGCAGAGACCACGTCTTCTGAGGAGCACTGCGTGGCCTTTGAGGGCATTCATCTGCCTCAGGTACCCTGGCAGCTGTGGGGGAAATGCTGTGTACAAGGCCTATGGCATCATTTCTGAAAATGTGGTTCAGGACTGCGTCAGCCTGGGGAGCTTATTAAAATGAAGGTTCGTGCTACCCTCCCCACTCAGAATCTCTGAGATGAGAATCAGGAATCTCTGTTTTAGGGCACTCCTTGTGTGTTTCTTCTATAAATCACAGTTTGAGAACTACAGGTATGGGGATGAGGCCTTTATCTTTCTCTGGAGAGGGTGATATTGAGGGGAAAGGAGAGGGGCTAAAGCCGGGAGAAGGGGAGCCTACACCACAGACTGTGTCCTCCAGATCCCAGGAAAGCTGCTCTTCTCCCTGGTGAAACGCTACCTATGTGTCACTTCCCTGCTGGATCAGCTGAATAACAGTCCAGAGCCAGGGACTGGAGACCGAGGCTCCCGACCCTCAAGGGAGGATTTTGGCCAGGAGAAAAGCCGGGGGCAGCGGGAGCTGGAGTTCAGTATGGCTGTGGGCAACCTAATCTCAGAGCTCGTGCGGAACATGGGCTGGGCCCGGAACCTCAGTGAACAGGCCGCATCGCCACCCCGGCCAACCCGGTCCATCTTTCAGCCTGGGATTTCAGGCCCCAGCCTTTTACTCCCCACCAACGTCGCCACCCCCAGGAGGCAAGGGCGGGCCTTCCGCCAGCGCGCTGAATTCTCTAGCCGTAGTGGCTACGGCGAGTACGTGCAGCAGACCCTGCAGCCGGGCATGCGAGTGCGGATGCTGGATGATTACGAGGAGATCAGTGCCGGGGACGAGGGCGAGTTCCGGCAGAGCAACAATGGCGTGCCCCCTGTGCAGGTGAGCAAGAGCGCGGTGGCGGGCCTCCGTTGGGGGTCTGTGTTGGGTGGGGCATAGCTGGGGCATCCACACAGGGGACTCCTGCAGGCCACCCAAGGAGAAAACCCCAAGAAAATTGGAATGGTTTAAAGGGGGTCAGTGATGGAGAGGGGGGCTGTTTGGAGGGCTGAGAAAATCTGGCAGGAGTGGGTGGGCTGTGAGGTCAAGGAAACAGTTCTTCCTTCCCACCCAGGAAGCAGAACTGACATGTTCAGACACCCTGACTCCCACCAGTGGAGCTGGCTAGGAGGAAGTGTGGGCGCGGAGGCCATCCGGATTAGGAAGAGATGAGAGGCAGGGCCTGCCTGGTAGGGGAAGGGAGCCTTTTGCTGAACAGAGGTTTCCCAAGCCTAGCCAGGTGTGCCCTGAGGACTGTGTGCCCAGGTCTGGGTCCAGCCATGTCTTCTGCAGCCTGCACAGCTCAGGGTTCACAGGGCTGAGCCCCCTTCTTCTCTCTTTCTTTCTCCCTCCACACTAGGTCTTTTGGCAGTCAACGGGCCGTCCCTACTGGGTGCACTGGCACATGGTGGAGATCCTGGGCCCTGAGGAAACTGCTGAGGATATGGCTTCAGCAGCTGTGGAGAAGGGGGCGGGGACCGCTGTGTTGGGCACAGGTGAGCCATGGAGGGAGGGGACATGGACGTCGTGTCTCTGAACAGAGGAGGAGTGGCTGGAATGAAGCCCTTCCCGACCAGGAGCTGCCCCACAGATTCAGAAATTCAGTCTGTTCATGCCTGTCTCCTCAGCACTTCCCTCCTGGGACTGGAAGCCGGTGGATGGGCTCTACTCTTTGCCGTACCTCCAGCCCGAGCCTCAGAAGAACGAGGAACTGGGATACCTGACCCAGGCTGAGTGGTGGGAACTCCTCTTCTTCATCAAGAAGTTGGATATATGTGAGCAGCAGCCAATTTTCCAGAATCTTCGGGAGAACCTGGATGAGGTATTACAGGCCTGCAATACCTGGGGGGTTTGGAATGGCATTGGAGGCGGGATCCTCTAAGGTAGTTTGCCATATGGGACTGCCTAGGGGAAGGCTGAAGCGAGAGGTTAGAGAGCCTGGGGGCTCCTGCTGGGGGAGGAGGCAAATGCCGGGAGGGTCTAGTATGTAGCAGGTGTGTAAGGCACGGTGAGAGGTGGCTGCTCTTCTGTTCCTGTCCCCAAGGCCTTTGCGTCTGCTTCTTCCTAAAAAATACATACCATTCTGTTGCCAGACCCTGGGTGAGAAGGCCCTAGGTGAAATCTCCGTGCCCATAGCGATGGCTGAGGGTCTGCTGCAGGTTCTCAGTAATCGGTTTGAGGGCAGCGCCCTCAGCGACCTGCTCAACTCTCAGATCTACACCAAGTACGGGCTGCCACCCAAGGCACTGAGCAGCTCGTCTTCTTCACGAAGTCACTCCAGTTCTCCAGATCTGGAAGAGGAGTCCAAGTCAGAGGCCAACTTCTCAGAGGAAGAGGCTGAGTCCCCTAAAGCAAAGCCCCTTAAGTTAGAGGCAGAGCCTGCCAGGGGAAAAACTGAGCCCCCCATGGCACAGAGTGATTCGCAGCTGTTTAACCAGCTTCTGGTGACTGAGGGGATGGCTCTGCCCGCCGAGATGAAGGAGGCAGCCAGTGGTGAGTCAGGTGCTGGGAGGGGAGGGCAAAGAGGTTGGAGCAAGTCCCGGGTGGTCCCCGGAGAAGTGGGTAGTCAGGGCAGAGGGCAAGCCGTGGAGGGAGGTCGCTTTTGTATGGGAAAATGCTTCGGAAGCCTGCATCCATTTTCCTTCCTTTGACCTTGATTATCTGTAATTGATCACTGCTCCCTTTCTTCAGTATCCCTGGAAAAGGAGGGTCCGTATTCCAGAGTACTGTCATCTTCATTGCTTGACTATTAAATCCCTCACACAGAATTGGGAAAGTTCTAGGCGTAAGCTACAGTAGTGAACAGTGTGTTAAAATGTCAGTAGGATAACTGGACTTGACCTTTAAAGACTTCCAACGTGAAGGTGCCACAGTTTTTTTAAGGCACTGCCTTTCCCTCACTGTTTTCAGAAATGGCTACAGCCTTGCGGGGTCCTGGGCCACGCAGTTCCCTGGATCAGCATGTGGCAGCGGTCGTGGCCACTGTGCAGATATCCAGCTTGGACACAAATCTGCAGCTTTCGGGACTCTATGCCCTCTCTCAGGCCGTGGAAGAAGTCACTGAACGTGACCACCCTCTGGTCAGTCCCGACAGATCCCTAAGGTTAGAACCGTGGAGAGGTGGAGGGGGTTATGGTTTAAGCTGTCAGTGGGGGAGGATGGTGGGGGAGGGAAGGAGCTATGAGATCAAGAGTTAGAAAGGCTAGGAGGAAAGAAGGGTCAGCCTGAAGGGTAGCTGAACAGGAGGGTGGAATATTAACGATGGTTAATGTTCTTGGAGCATTTGTTCTGTGCCAGGCCTTGTGCTTAAAATTTTATAAGCATTCTCTCCTTAAATCCTTCTATCTCCAGAGGAGAACTTGATGCTGTTCTTTTTTTTTTTTTTTTTTTTT